TTGTAAACTTATTCTGCTTTAGACACTATAAATGCCAGTGGCCTTTAAGCGATGGTCATAAGTGGAGGAATAATACCTGCATATTTATTTCCTTGTATTCTGAAACCTCTTTCCGTGTGCTACTCGATCTGTGCTTGCCTGACATTTTCTAACCTGTATTTCCCACCGAAGAGCAATTTGGCTTTCACCTCTCGTAGCGTTTCATAATCCATGGAGGAAACAAAAGACGGCAAGGCGGAAGAAAGAGGAAAGACAAAGAAATAAATCTGAAAGCAAGTGGGCCAGGAGGAGAGCTGCAGCTTTCAAGCAAAGACTTGAGGATTAGCCGTTAAATGAAGCATGAAAGGGAAAGGAGTTTCTCTCCGCTTGTTCTCACCAAACTGAAAGTCCAAAGTGCCTGAGGGCAGGACCAGAAGCAACTGGTGGAATGTCATTCAAGAGAGATTCAACCTGGAACTAAGGAGAAATTTCCGGTCAGTGAGAACAATTAACCAGTGGAATGACTTGCCACCAGAAATTGTGGGTGTTCCATCACTGGAGGCTTTCAAGAAGAGACTGGACAACCATTTGCCTGAAATGGTATAGGGTCTCCTGCTTGAGCAAGGGGTTGGACTAGAAGACCTCCAAGGTCCCTTCCAGCTCCTCTCCTCTCCTCTCCCTCTTCTTGTTATTCTATGTTTTATGTTTTATGAGCATTTGCTAATTCGAATAAAGTCTCCTAACCATGAATCACTCTTGCTCTGTTAAAGTTTTTATCTGCTGTGGGGGTTTGTTTAAAGATAGATGAGTTTAATGTGTTTCAGAGTCATCGGATATGGGATGGATGGCAAATATATTTTATAAAGTAAATGAACAAGCAAATAGCTGTATTTTTAGACCTCCAAGGTTGTCCTACCGTCAGCCTACTATGGACCTTGCTGAAGGCAAAATACCTTGGAGGAAGACCCAGCATCCTGTTTTCGGTGGCCTTTTGGGTTGCAGATTTTATATATATGTAAATTATAGTAACATTCAGTGCAAATACAGATAATAAGGAAACGGGAAGGGGGGGGAAAGAAGTGAGAGATAAAGGGGAAAAAAATGATTTCCAACTTTTTTTTCAGTGCGATAAAATACAAAAGAGAATTACTGCCTCGACTTTTTACTTTTACGTACTCAGGGGTTAGTTTGGGACAGGGGTACCTGTGAGGAAGGAATATGGGGGCATTAAAAAATAAGTCCGGGTTATGACTGCAACCGCAGGACCAAAATCCCACCCTATTGTGCATGTATCATTGTGATGTACTATACATAGAATAGCTTGGAGGTTCAACTGCGCGGTCACATCTTGTCTAGACACACCAAAGACATAACCCACTAATAAACACAGAGTTGGAGGTGACTATAGTCTAGATCAGGGGTGTCCAACCTTGGCAACTTTAAGGCTTGTGGAGTTCTACTCCCAGAAGTCTATGCTGGCTGAGGAATTCTGGGAATGGAAGTCCACAAGTCTTAAAATGGCCAAGGTTGGACACCCCTGGTCTAAAAGCTATATTTGATATCACAGGCCTGTTTTCACCAAGATCTTAAGACAGACCATGACTGTGAGCCCAGAGAACAAAGATTAACAACTTGGACATGCTATATATATTTTTTGCCTCCATCCAATCATTGTTCTTTCACGGAAACGTCTCAGCTGGATTCCTAGTTAACACACCCTCCTACTGGGCACGATTTGATCTCTTCCCAGAGCAGTGGAGAGGAATTTCCATCCTGCTCCATGGAACTGGACATCTAGTCCTCAGACCCTGTTTTTCTTGGCAGCCTCCCACCCCACAGTCCCTATGTCCAACTGTAGTCTTGTGGCTTGGTTTGTAGAAGAGCAGTGCAAAATGGAAGGGCACTTTGTGCGAGGTTCCTAAGCATCTAAGTCATGGCAGCCATGTCAATAATTCAGAGACCACTAATCAATAGAAGAGAATCTGTGTAACTGTGGGATCCCTGGTCTGCAGGCAAACAAAAGAGCATCAAGCCCCCCCCCCAGTTATCTTCCTCCTCCTCCTCCTCCTCTTCGTCCTCTTCTTCCATCACTTCCCCTTCTCATTCTCCTCTACTTCCACAATTCCTACTCCCTTTTGACCGCCGATGATGTTCCCTAGTTGTGTCAAGAAACGTCTGTAGGAAAACAACCAAGCTTACAGAGCATCAAGGACCCCACAGTTCTCCCCCTCCTCTGCAAAAAAGGGTAGAATTGAACTCCACCCATCTTCTGGGAGTTGAAGTCCACCCATGTTCAAGGGGCCAAGGTTAAGAAACGCTTCTTCAGACCGTCTCGAATTATTTTTTTTTTTGTGGGTTGCTTTTTGTTCTGCTCCTAACAAAAATGGGAGTTTAGAGGGAAGAACACCAACAAATGTTCTAAAATAAAATTCTAAATAAAATAAAAGTCCACATGTGGTGGACTTGTCCTCATGCATGAAAATTTTGGCAAAAAAAATTAGAATTTGGATAGAGGAAATAACAAAGCAGAAAGGACAATTCAAACCGGATATTTTTTTTTTACTAGGCATGCTAGAACCAATTGTGAAGAAGCACCAATATTTGATTTTGCATATTGTAACAGCAGCTGGAATAAGTTTTGCTCAAAATTGGAAGTTGGCTACGACCCCTTCAGAAAACATGATAATCAATAACATACACGAATGTGCCGAGATGGATAGACTAACTGAACTGCTAAAAGATAATCAGGACAGTGAATATTACAAAACATGGGATACCTGGTACGACTGGCTAAAGAAATGGTGATATCCGATGACCCAGTAACATTTTGAAAATAAGGGTGACGTGTAAATAAATGTAAATAATCTATATGTATGCATATATAGAGCTTAAAAGGACGAAGGAGTTTTTATGACGATGTATAACACACTATCAGAAGGAAAGTACAAGTGTATCTATTGCTCAAACAATGCTGTAAAATGTACATATATGTTTTTAATTTTACAAACTTTGAATGAATATATTAAAAAAAAATAAAATAAATAAAATAAAATTCTCCCTTTTTCTTCCCCTTTCTGGAAAAATGAAATGTTACCCAATTCTTTTTTTCCCACTGGAAAAAAATTCTCTCATCTAGAGCGATGCCAGTGTGGGAACCTGGGCTCAATTAAGAGCTGTGTGTGTGTGTGTGTGTGTGTGTGTGTGTGTGCTGTAATTTTCATCTCCTAAACAAATGATCTTTTTTTTAAAAAAAAAATGCTTGTACTTCATCTGTTCTGGGAGCCGCTGGGAGCATTTGTGTTGAGTCAAACAATGTCTCTTTGGCAGCTGTGTGGCTGCCTTGTGGCTGCAACTGAGCGAGAGCTTTGTAGGACATAGAATGCTGGGGCTGGAAGGGACCTTGGAGGTCATCTAGTCCAACCCCCTGCTTAAGGCAGGAGACCTAATACTATCCTGGTCAAATAGTTGCCCCCATTTTTATTTTTATTTTGCCATGGCTGCATCTCTCCTGTCGAAGCTTCATGACAGCCTGACATTCGCCAAGGATGTGGGGGAAAGATTGGAATGTAAGGTGGAAGAAGGGCGGGATGGAAGCCCAGCCTAGCCTTGTGTGAGAAGCTTCTGCCAGCCAAGGTCAACCATCTGGATGCAGAGGTGGCCACCGAGAACCTGTTTCCTAAACAATATAGAAGCACCGGATTGGACATTTACAGATAACCGCGGCATGGCCGGGGGGAGGAAGAGGGAGTTTTACTTTGCATTGTTTGCGTGGGAAAATCTCAGATTCAGCTTCGCAACTTCTGCAATCTCTGAAGCTTCAGCAAAAGTATGTAGTCTTGGCAAAAAACATGTGGCCAGGGGTCTTTGTTTACTAGGTGACTGAGTGGGATGGTCGACACTTTCTTTGCAAAACCTCCAGTGAGGGAGCTCCCGCAACTTCTAGAAGCAAGCTGTCCCGGGGCTTGATTTTTCTCACGGTCAGGAAATTCCTCCTTAGCCCCGGGCTGCACCTCTCTTTGACAAGCTTTCATCCCTTGTTTCAAGGGGTTTGGAGAAGAGGTTGACCCTCTCTTGCCTGTGGCAGCCCCTCAAGTATATGAAGGCTGCTGTCATGTCACACTTGAGTCCTTCTCTTCCATAGGCTAGGCGTGCCAAGAGATTTACTGAGTTTCAGCAATTGCTGAAAAGTTTTGGTTTTTTTTTCTCAGGGTTGAATACAAGTGGTTTTCAATTAGAAATAAAAATAGAATCTTTTCTTTAATAAAACAGTCAATTTTGCCATCTCCACCAATTCCACCATTCATTCCTCTATTAGGGGAAAGAATGGTATGGAATGGAATAGAGATAGAGAGGAATAGAATAGAATGGAATGGAATGGAATGGAATGGAATGGAATGGAATGGAATGGA